TCGTTATTTCTAATCTCAATTTTGGATTTCTTTAGATGGGTTTCTAGAGTCCCCAGCTATTAAAGGTTAGTTCTTTAAGCTTTTCAACGACTAAACTCCAATGGGGTTTCCTAAACTGAGCTAAATCATGGAAAAGGAGACAGAAATCAATCTGTAGAATGGTATAGGCAAGAGATCAAATCAATATGAATCAAATTGAGACTCTAATTTCGAAAGTGAGAAATGGAATCTTGCAGTATTCTGATGGAACTTTTTCTTGTATTGCAGGGATTCAGAAAGATCGATCCAGACAGATGGGAATTTGCGAACGAAGGGTTTTTAGCAGGTCAAAAGCACCTCCTCAAGGGGATCAAACGAAGGAGAAACATGAGTGTGAATCAGCAAGGATCAGGATCAGGATCGGGATCAGGAGTATCATGTGTGGAGGTCGGGCAATACGGGTTCGAAGGAGAGGTAGAGAGGCTAAAAAGGGATCATAGCGTGCTTGTCGCTGAGGTAGTTAGGCTGAGGCAACATCAACACAATTCCAAGAATCAAGTTGCAGTTATGGAGCAACGGCTGCTCATTACAGAAAAGAGACAGCAACAGATGATGACGTTCCTCGCCAAGGCCTTGAACAATCCAAACTTTGTGCAGCAGTTTGCATTGATGAGTAAAGAGAAGAAGAATCTGTTTGGTTTGGATGTTGGGAGGAAAAGAAGGCTTACCTCTAGCTCAAGCATGGGGCCTGTGGATGAGAGAGTTTTGCTAGATCAGGAGTTCGATAGAATGAAGGAGGATATGGAGACTTTGCTTGCTGCGGCTATCGACAATGAGTCGAGTAATTTGATGCCTACTAAGGAGGAGCAGTGTTTTGAGGCTATGAATGAGAGAATGGAAGATAGTAACCTCGAAGCAGAGATGGATGTGAAAGTGGAAGATTTGGTCGATTCGCCGTTGGATTGGGACAGCGAAGATCTACATGACATTGTAGATCAAATGGGTTTTCTTGGATCAGAAGCTTGAGTATTCGGCTCAATCCATCTAATGGTTTCAAGACCATTTCACACGGTCCAAGTTGTGGTAATTGCTACCACCTTTATTTTGGATTGTTTGTTCTGTTTTGTCTCTCAATTAATGCATTAAGTGTGGTTTTCTTGTACATTGTGTTTTCATGTTCTAATTAATAAAAACAAAACTGATTTCGTTTTGACAGTTTTAATGGTTGATGTTCTTCCTCGTCCAGATGTTAGGAGCTGCGTATTGAGTATCAAGCTCCGTATGCACCGTCTTATTACTACTCTCTACGTTCAACATTTAGGGGATTGTGTATAAGAGAGAAGACCTGAATCTGAATCCAGTGACCTTTGTTAAGCTTTGTTTTGGGAAAAAAAGAACCAAGAAGTTGTGTTATTTGCAAAGGTGCGGTATACCATTTGGCATAAGTTCATCGACATTATTACGTTTTCATGAGTTTAGGAATTATGTAGGACGATGGTCTTTCGATTAGAAACAGGGCAGTGAAACTATTATAGGCTACTCTGTTTTCTCTTTTGTTCGTTGTAGTTTGTATACTTTGTTTAGTCTTTTTACGAATGAAAACCAAACTGAAATAGGTCAAAGGTTAATTGACGGTAAAAGTGCCGCGTTGAGTTATTCTTTTGTATATTTGGTGATATGTTTCTGAAATACTGTATGATTA